ATCTGCCGGCCTCAGCCTCCCAAAGTACTGGGATTACAGCCATGAGCCACCTTGCCTGGCCGGCATCTGTTTAATAATCCCACTCTCACCAGACGTGGTGGCTCACGCCTGTAATCCCAGCACTTTGGGAGGCTGAGGCAAGTGGATCACAAGATCAGGAGTTCAAGAGCAGTCTGGCCAACATGGTGAAACCCCATCTCTACTAAAAATACCAATAAATTAGCTGGGCATGGTGTCAGAGGCCTGTAATCCCAACTACTTGGGAGGCTGAGGCAGAGAATTGCTTGAACCCAGGAGGTGGAGGTTGCATTGAGCCGAGATCATGCCACTGCACTCCAGCCTGGGCAACAGAGCGAGACTCCATCTCAAAAAAAAAAAAAAAAAAAAAAATAATGCCACTCTCACATTCAGTGTACAGTCTTAGTACAGCACTTTATTCAGGGAGAAATAATGGAATCTCAGGAGTTTAAAATTTTGATTCAGAAAAAAATGTTTAAATGGTAGTTCTGTTCAATAATGCAGCATTTTCATTCAGCAACATTAGAACCTTTAGCACCAACACTGACTGTTCCTACAAAAAAATACAACTCAGCTCTCTTCTCTGTTCTCCAGACTCGCTCCTCTTCTCCTGTTCCCACCCAGTCTATGGCACCAGTTGCCCAAAGGCAGCAGTTATACTAGACTTGGCCCTCCCTCTCAGTTTCACACTCACCAGGCCAGATCCCATTGATTTTACCTCCTAAACATTCCTACAAATCTACTCCCTTCTTCTTCATGCCACTCACAGCCTCATCAACTCTTGCCTGCACTACTCATGCATTCATTCATTCATTCACTCATTCATTCACCGCATACCAAATGCCTCTAAGTGTCAGGCATGCTACTTGGAGTGTGGAGTCTAGTAGAAGGGTAAGGGATGAGTACAGAAAGCAGGGGGCCAATTTAGGAGGCTTTTATTTTACAATAATCCAGGTGAGATATTGGTGGTTTGGACCAGGGTGAAGGCAGTTGAGGTGAGAAATGCTTGGACTATAGATGCTTTAGTATTTTGAAGGTAGTAGGCTGGGTGTGGTGGCTCATGCCTATAATCCCAGCACTTTGGGAGGCCGAGGCAGTCAGATCACTTGAGGCCAGGAGTTCGAGACCAGCCTGACCATCATGGCGAAACCCTTGTCTCTACTAAAAATACAAAAATTAGCTGGGTGTGGTAGCACATACCTGTGGTCCCAGCTACTGGGGAGGCTGAGGCACAAGAATCGCTTGAACCGACCAGCAGAGGTTGCAGTGAGCCAGGAACACACCACTGCACTCCAGCCTGGATGAGAGAGCAAGACTCCATCTCAAAATATATTCATACATACATATGTATGCATGCATATACATATATATGTGAGAAAAAAAAAGAGGACTCAGGATTTTGTCTTTAGCAACTGGAACAGTGCTGGTAACTGAGATGGGGGAAGTAAGTGTGGGGAGAGAGGTCAGGATTTCAGTTTCAGATATGTCAAATCTAAGATGCAGAACAGGCAGTTGAATATATAAACCTGGACTTCGGGGGAGAAGCTCAGACTGGAGGTACACATTTGGGGATGATTGGCATATAGCAATCTGATATTTAGAGCCAGAAAACTGGGTGAGATTCTCAGGGGAGTGTTTGCAGACAGAAAAGAAGACCAAGAACTGAACTCTGGACATTCCAACATCAAGAGGTTGGGGAAAACAGAAGCATCTAGGAAGGAGTCTGAAAAGGAACAGTTAGTGAAATAGGTAGCAATCAAGAGAGTTGTGTCCCTGATGCCACATGAAGAATGCGTTTCCTGCCGGGCGTGGTGGCTCAAGCCTGTAATCCCAGCACTTTGGGAGGCCGAGGCGGGTGGATCACGAGGTCAAGAGATCGAGACCATCCTGGTCAACATGGTGAAACCCCGTCTCTACTAAAAATACAAAAAATTAGCTGGGCATGGTGGCACATGCCTGTAATCCCAGCTACTCAGGAGGCTGAGGCAGGAGAATTGCCTGAACCCAGGAGGCGGAGGTTGCGGTGAGCCGAGATCGTGCCATTGCACTCCAGCCTGGGTAACAAGAGTGAGACTCTGTCTCAAA